TCCTGCTAGAATCAAAATGGATTGACAAGAGCTGCTGTTTCAGCTTCATATGTTAGATCACCTGGAAGGTTTCACAGCATGATCAAATCGTTTGCAGCTGTGCATCTTTGCTATCCTGCTATCTCTCTCAGTTACTTGATGTGTTGGGCCCTTCAAAAAATAAGATGCACCAACAAAATAAAATTCTGGGGACTGACCCCATTTTATTTTCGAATTTGCTTGATGATTTATTTTTGTTTAACGGGGTCTTGCCCCCCTCATTTTCTTGGGACGAAAACAACGTCCTCCCACGCAGGCTCGTCGCTCTGCCACAAAACTGCAGCCGCCTGCTCCTGCCCTGCAGAGTTGAAACCGTCAGCTGGTGCGGGTGGAGATGCGCTGGACTGTGGCAGGGGGTGCCTTCCAACCGTGGAAAGTCTGCCCGTAAGGCCTGCGGACGCTCAGTTGTTGCGGGAACCCTGGACCTTTAGAGCATTTCAGATCCGCGCTTGGGGTCCCTGGATAAGATTCGGGGAGTCTGGTCCAAAAAATATCCAAGGCCACTAGACCCTATCAGTGATACCAATGGTGCCCCAGCCTCACCACGGGGAATTTTATCCACAGATACCTTTCAAAACATCGTATATTCACTTACCAGATGTCTATGATTTTTATTCACCAGCACTTGCCCAAAGATTCTTCCGCTCCTGCTCGGCTGCCACATTTGCCGTGGACCCTGCCGTCCGGGGTGTTGGCAGTGAGCCACAGCAGGAACGCATCCTGCAAGCCAGGGCGTGCATCCCCACCCGGACTTAAGTCGGGTTTTTGTGAAGGGGCCAACATCCACCTCGCACCACCTCGCACAGGATGCTCATCCGTAGTGTTAGAAGAAACTTATGCAGGCAAAGCTTGAAAAATTCAAAATATCTAGTTTGTCATGTTTTGGCCGTTCCTGTTGTTATTTGTTTGTCATTTCAACTCTGTCTGTCATTCTGTGTGTTATTTGTTTGTCATTTATTTTTGTCGCTTCAATTTTGTCTGTTATTTTTTTGTCATGTCAATTTTATCTGCCACTTCGATCGTCATTTTTTTGGATCATTTTTTGGTCACTTGAGTTTTGGTCTGTCGTTTCGGCTATAATTTTTGTTATTTTGTTCATTGCAAAGATGATTTTTTCTCGAAGCGTTATTATTTTTTGTCGTTGTTCGAATAAGCTTCTTCTCCTTTTTCCATACTCTTGACAAAAACGGCACCAAAAGATCAAAAGAATGACAATTTTGCAGGTTGCAAAATATTGCATTTTTTGACGTGTTTTTTTGGGGCAATTTCTCTGCCATTTGCGATTAGTTTGTGATATTTTTCAATATTTGTACGAAAACCGCACCAAAAAAAACGAAAAGATAACAACATTTTCATCATATGACAAAAAGAAACAAAAAGTGACAACACATTACAATTTTACAGGTTGCAAAAATGTCATACATGTCTCGAAGCATGATCATTTCTTTGTCATTTTTCTGTCGTTTTCGAATAAATTTTGATATTTCCGTTTTTTTTTTGAGCGCGTTGTGCCGAAATGGCGGAAACTTGAAAATGTAACGTCAATGCCTCAAGAAAAGTGCAATTTTTTGCACCCTGCAAACTTGCAATTTTTTTGGTTGTCATTTTTTGGGCCATGATTTTTGTAATTTGGTGGAATGTTTGTCATTGCTTGCAATTTTGTGGCACGATTCTCGCAAAAATACGGAAAATATAATTTTTCCGATAAATGACCCCAAAAAAAGGAGCGACAAAAACACGACAAAAAAATTACCCCAAACAAATGACAGGCTAAAATTTGGCTAAAACTGAAAAAATGACAAAAGCATGACAAACAGAGCGGACACGACAAAAAAAAGGGAAAAGGCAAAACGACAAGCAAAACTGAAATAACAAAAAAACAAAAAGAAAGAATCGACAACAACATAAAATGACAAAATAAGTATATTTGTGACCCATCTCCAGGGTATGGCTGAGAGTTTCTTTTATGCTGGAATCATTGGCTATGTTCCCTTTGTCAAAAGTTGGCGATCACCACAATTTATTGCTTCTGAATTTTTGCCCCATGGGTTTCCCCTGCCCCAACAAACCTTGCTGGGAACGTTGGAGGCCTGGGACAACCTTTGCTCATTTTAAAGTTGGCACCTCAACCACTGTTCGAAGGAAGTTTAGAAGTCAAACTTCCGACAGAATGGACAGATGAAAAGCAGAGCAGGGCAGAGGCAGAGAGAAGAGGAAGATTAGAAGAGAGAAGATCAGAAGAGAAAGAGTAAGAAGAAAGAAGATGCAGATGCGCGAAAAGGTAAGAAAGTCGCGAAACACTGTGTTTTTCCAATGATTTGTGGCTCCGGAGGGTTGAAAAGTAGGCTTGCTAAAGCGGCGGGTGCGGAGCCAGCTGGCCAGACGAGAGATGAAAAATTGCACGCCGTTGTGGCGCGAAGCACATTTCCAAGTCAAAAT